GCTCTTCCCTCTTCGACCTCAGCTATTTCATCGTCTCCATCCTCTACCTCAAGTATGAGCCAGGTGAGACAGGGCGGAGGGCTGGAGGGGGCTGGCATCGCGGGGCGAGGATGGGGAATCCCTAGACCATGGTGGTGACAGCTCAGGGGCGAATTCAGAGATGCAGACAGATGCTGGGATCATGGGGTTTTCCCATACCGGGCAGGCAACGGGGAGAGACGTGAGGGAGGGCAAGTAGAGAAGCCCTCCCCGAGATAGTCGGGCTGGGAGAAGGGAACCAAATGAGGGCTGGAGGGAAGGAGAGGAACGTGATAGATAGTTCAGAGGAGGGGGAAAAGGTGCTGGGGAGGGGCAGGGAGAGAAGGTCAGGGGTCCTGGTAAGGGAGGGTCTCATGAACTCGGGCAAGGGGCGTAGGTCCTGGTGAGGGCACTGGCGGGGGTCGGCGCTGAAGGCCTGGCGGTCAGAAGTCCTGGCAGCCCGCAGCCATGACCTCCCTTCTTGCCCTTGGCGCACGGAGCGGGAGAGGGAGCGGCAGCTGAGTAGACGTCTATATAAGGGCCGGTCGTGCTGGGGTCAGATTCAGAGAAAGTGACACCGGTGCCTCGTCCCCCCTGTGGCCATGAGGCTACCTCCTCCCTCTTCCCCTCCGCGAGGCTGTGCTGGATCTCTGCTCCCTGCCAGAATTCTAGCCCTGGCCGAGATCCTTTCCACTTACTGAGCAGAACCAGCCCTAGGGCAGGGTAATTTAGGGTCAGCCTTCTCCCACCAGCTGTAGAGGAGAATCACAAAGGGAAAGAACCAACGTTTAGGATTAAAACAAAACAAAACATTTTTTTAAATGAGGGTAAGTGGCCTCTGTAGAATGTGTTCTATTTTTATACAAGGTTCACAGAATATTTCTTGTTCATCTCCTAGTATTTTAATTATTCTAACACACCAGCAATCTAAACCGACAGTAGAATTTAGCTTTAGAAAAAAGATCAATCACCCCAAAAGTTTGTGACCCTTTCTCCCACTCAGATGTAAATCACCCCATATTCTCTTCTCAAAATGAAAATAGCTCTTTTCAGATGATAAAAATAGGTGCTCGTTCATATTTACAAATCAAGCCAAAAAGCACAAAGGAAAAAAGAATTACAGCTGATGTGGTGGCCACCCTTCCAGACCTCTCTTCTCTGCATTTATACCCCCATAGCTGTGGATGTAAATACACAATCTTATGCAAATAGAATCATACTCTGCTTGCCAAGCTCTTTTGTTCCATTTTATTTTTCCAGTCCACAGGCCAGAGCCTATTTTTTAAAAAGCTTTTCTGGAGAGCAATTACTTTGCAAAGCAAAATAAGCTTTGTATTGCCATAGCATAGCCACAAGGTTGTATTTCCTGTCTGGGGATGAATTCTTGGTGGCTCAGGCCACTCCCCAGGCGAGTACGAAATCCAGCACACCTTGGGAAATCTCGAACTGTGAAGCAAGAGCCCCACATGGGTCTGGAAGAAAGGGGTCTCCTGCCTGCCTGGGCGTAAGTAAGAAGGGTTGGGACATTCCTACTGGAGTCCCAGAGTAAGTCATCTGAACTAGAAGTACTGGAAACTGAAGATTCCTGGAGGTTGAGAGAGTTTAGCAGTTCTCAACCCTAGCTGGGAGCTCTTAAACCCCGACAATTGATTCAGAATATCTGATGTGAGGCTCTGGCTGCTCATGTTTGAAGTTCTTCTCCCTCAGTGATTGCTGTCTGCTGTCAAGATTGAGAAACTGCTGCCTAGTTTAACCCCTTCCTTTGGTAACTGGGGAAACAGGAAACAGAGGGTAGGCTAAATTAGGTATACAATGAGCCTGTGGTGCTATGGCTGGTAGATGCTGGCCTTGGGATTCCAACCCTGGTCTGCTTAAACCCGAGAATCAATAAGTTTATTCTAGACTACTTGCTTCCCTTTAGAAAAGGGAGGCATTGGACTTAGCTGTTAGCCCCCCAGTTTGGTGTTCCTGCTGGACCTATGTAAAAGTTTCTTCTCAGAACCCATGTGCCGATTGCAGGAGCAGCTCCAGAATTTGCAGAGCCCCCTGTTCAGAAATTAAGAATTTCCAGGCAGTGATGACAAAACATCGAACTGAATGCAGGGCCCTTCTGAGCTCAGGGTCCTCGGCGACTGCACAGGTAGAACACTTGAAGCTGAGAGCGAAGCTGAGAGCAAAGCTGTCTTTAAAGAAAAATCTCTGAATTGGGAGTGATTCTGCCACTGAGTAAACATCAGGCTGGTTACTGCACCTCCATGAGCTTCAGTTTGCTCATCTGTGAAATGGGCTCATTGGTAAAAAATAACCCTGGACTCCCTTTCCTGGCTGTTGTGAAGATCTATTGATAACTGTCAGTCTAAGGCACTTGGGAGAGGTACTGACACGTATTTGTAAGGTGGTGAGGGAATGTGTTTCCTGAGATGCAGGCATTTTCTGGGTCAGTCTTTGGTGAGAATCTTGAATGAGGACAAAGTTTGGAGTGTGGTCCTCAGGTGAACAGCATCTGTGTCTCCTGGGAGCTGGTTAAGAATGCCAGGCCCACCCTCCCCCAGACCTGCTGAATCATAATCTGCATTTGAATGAGATCCCCATAAGCACACTAACTTATGAGAAGCGATGGACTGGAAGAGGTTGGAGCTCCTTTTTAAACCTGGAGCTCCCTCATGGGGCAGGTGCTTTGGGTCTGGCTCACCTCCAGGTCCCCTTTCTCCATGCAAGAAGAGAGGAGGAAACGGTGGTGCATGGCTGAAGGAATGTGAATGAATGAATGACAATCCTGGTTACCTTAAGCATGACCCATCCAAAGAAATTTTCAGACCAGTGGTCCTCAAATTAGACCCATCTGAGAAGCTTTTTAAAATCCTCATGTCCAGGCAGCACCTCTCCATCATTTAAATTGGAATCACTGGAGGTAGCACCAGCATCAGTATTTTTGAGGGGGAGGGGACTGGGAAAATTGAAATATTGTTTATTATACTGTTGCCAATATGTTTTATTAAATGCTTTTATCACACCATTTAAACATTTTTTAAAATGTATTTTTTAATTATAGTTGACATACAATATTATATTAGTTTCAGGTGTTTTAAAGTTCCCCTGATGAGACCCAGGTCTCTGCACCAGCGTTCCCTAACCTGGGCACTAGTGACAGCTGGAGCCAGAGCATTCTCTGTGGTGGGGGCCTAGCCTGTGCATTTCAGGATGTTTTGCAGCATCCCTGGCCTCCACCCACTGGATGCTGGTAGTGTACACTGTTTTGACAATCAAAACTGTCCCCAGACATTGCCAGTGTCCCAGACTTTTGCCCTGAGTTGGGAACCGTTGATCTAGCCTGAATCTCAAACTCCAGTGCTTCCAAGGGCCAGGCAGGTGATATAAGGGAAGCGATAAGCTAGCCAGGTGGGATCCAGCCACGCTCATCTCCACCTGATTGGGGCTGGAACCACCAGAACTAGTTTTTCAGGGGAAACTGGAAATGTGATTTGGCTGTTGGAACACTTTTTTCTTTTTCTTTTTTTAAATTAATAGACTTTACTTTTTAGAGCCATTTTAGATTCACAGCAAAATTAAGCTGAAAGTGCAGTTTCACTGACCGCCCCCACCACATGCACAGCCTTCCCCACCGTCAACATTTCCCACCAGAGTGGCACATTCATTACATTCATTGCAATGGATTCATTACAGTGTTTAATGAACCAACATCATTATCAACATATTATCATGTAATCATTATCATAGATTGTCAACATTATTATCAACCAATCTGTAGTTTACATTAGGAATTCTTGGCATTGTGCATTTATGGATTTGGACAAATCTATAATGATAGGTAGCCACCATTATGGTATCATACAGAATAGTTTCACTGCCCTAAAGATCCCCCATGCTCCACCTCTTCATCACACTCCCCTGCCCCCCACCCTGAACCTCCACCAAACTCTGATCTTTTTACTGTTTCCATAGTTCTGCCTTTTCCAGATGTCGTTGAATTGGACTCATACAGTCTGTAGACTTTTTAGACTCGCTTTCATTCAGCAATACGCATTTAAGTTCTCTCTACATCTTTTTGTGGCTTGATAGCTCATTTTTTTTCAGCGTTGAATAATATTCCATTGTATGGATGTACCACAGTTTAATTATTCACCTATTGAAGGACATCTTGGCTGCAGTTTGAATATTTTTTAAAATGCCATGGGAGCCAAGAGAATAGTTTCTTGATCTCTGCTTTGAACTGTAAGTTTTTTGAGGGTGGGGAACAGCTCATCCTCCAGCCTTGCAAGGCAGGGGCTACCAACTCCTTTTAAGGAGAAGGAAACCGAGGCAGAGATCTTCACTTGAAGGCTCAGGAAAAGAGACTGTCAATACACCTCCCATGTTTAGACCTCAAAACTAAATAGCACAGAACAAGGGGCAGTGCTGAAAGTGCCCTGGGGAACCTTCTAGCACTTCCCTGCCATCCACTGACCCCTGGAGAGTGAATGTCATGGAGCCCATTGCAGGCTGGAACTCAGGATCAATCAGAATTTCCTCTTCCCTCCTAAGGCAGAGCTAATTTTTATAAATTCATCCCCTAGAGTTTCCACCCACAGGTACTTTCTATTTCAGTTCAGTTCCAGGAATAACTCTCGCATAATTGCTAAGCACTGAGCAGTTTCTTTTATCCTCACAAGTGCCCTTTGAAAGGAATGATAGCACCGGGGTGATCAACTCACCCAGATTTGCCCAAGACAAGAACCGAAAGTCCCACGTCCCAAGAACCCCTTGGTCCCAGGCCAACTGGGACAATCATTCACTCTGGACAGCACCTCATTATATACATGAGCAAATTGAAGCTCTGAGTGGGGAGAGCTTTGGTGGCAAACTCGGAATTGAAAACCACATTCTGCTGCTTCTGGATGTTGTCCCCAAATCAAGGAATGTGGCAAAGGGCAGTAACCATGGGGATAGTTTCTCAGCTACTACCTTGCTATAGGTTCTCAGAGCAGACTGTCCCCATCAACCTCAGTTTTCCCATCTGTGGCAATGGGAAGATTCCAGGATTGCCAGGAGGGTATGGATAATGATAAGAAGCATAACGATGATAATGCACACCATATTGAGTCAAGACAACTTGGTGAAGGGGATGCTCTCATTCTCTGTTGACGGCAGAAGAAACTGAGGTTGGAGGTTGGGAGGGGGTCAGTTTTCTCCCAAGGCCTGCGGAAGCGAGCAGCAGAGCCAACACCAGGCACGTGACTTTTCAACCAGGACTCACCCAGGGTGCAAACACAGAGCCTGACTTACTTCTGCAAAACCCAGGTTCCCACCCCTCCCCCTCCTGGGTCTTGGTCCCTGGGATAGCCCCAGAGGGCACAAGAAAGACCCTGGAAAGAATTCAACCCCTGGAGGTTATTTTTAGATGCAGAGGTATCCATTTCTCCAAAACATGGGCACCTCACCTGACCTGGCCCCTTGCAGGACCCACCAGCTGCTCTGAAGGATTAACTCTCAGCTGGTGGCGTTTTAAATAGACACCCTGCCCAGTAGAAGAGAGCACTCTGCTCTCTTAAATCCTGTAGGACCTTAGTAAATGCTGAGACTTTAAGACAACCTGAGGGCAGGGAGAAGATGCACAGGACACCTGTAACTCCAAGGTGAGATTGAGGAGAGAAAATTCATTGTTAGGATTTGGGGAAGGAAGGGCTTAAAAGTTTGCATCTGAAAATAGGAAAGGGCTGCAGAGAGAAAAAAGAGTTTGTCTGAGATCACATGGTTAGTTGGCACTGGTGGCGAAGAGAAAGGGAAGTGTGTTGATGACTTAGTCTAAAACAACTCTTATTAGTCCTGCTTTTTTTGTCTTGCCACGTTCTATTTCTTTAAGGTGTTGATACAGATCGTTGTGAAGGAAGAGGAAACCAGATTATAAAAAGTTTTTTTTAAATGATAGTTGACATTCAATATTATATTAGTTTCAAGTATACGGCATAGTAGGCATTTATATAACATACGAAGCGATGTATATACAAGAGAATGGGTAAATAACTTATGACCTACTTCTATGATGGAATACTATACAACAGTGAAAACGACTATTACTCTTGAAAATATGCTCAGCGGAAGAGACAGATGTGAAAGGCTGTGTTATATAATTCCACCTATATGTGATATATAAGTTCTAGAACATTTTCATCACCCCAAAAGGAAACCCTATCCCTATTAGCAGTCACTCTCCATGTCCCCTCCCCCAGCCCTTGGCAATCACTAGTTTGTTTTCTGTCTCTATGAATTTGCCTGTTCTGGACATTTCATATAAATGAAACCATACATTATATGGCCTTTTGTGTCTGGCTTCTTTCACTCAGCGTGTTTTCAAGATTCATCCATGTTGTAGTATCTATCAAGACTTCATTCCGTTCTTTAGTTTATTTTCTGATTACAGTCGACATACAATATTATGTTAGTTTCAAGTGTACGATATAGCAATTAGTCATTTATATACCTTGCGAAGTGATCACCTCGATAAGGACTTCATTCCTTTTTAAGGCTAAATAATGTTCCACTGTATGGATATATCACATTTTGTGTCTATTCATCATCTGATGGACACTTGGGGTGTTTCTACCTTTTGGTGATTGTGAATAGTGCTGCTGTGAACATGGACTTCCAAGAATCTTCCAGAATCTATTGGTGGGTTCTTTGGGATAGAACAGCCTGGAGCCCCTCACACTCCCTGCCCCGCTGCCCACCCAAGGCGATGAGACCTGTTCCTGGCCATCAGGGATGGGATAGAACGTAAGGGACCCACAAGGGGGCTCGATACAGATTGTGGAGCCCAGTGCAATGAGGCAGAAGGGCACTCTTTGTCTTCCCTCCTTCCGATGGGGGGGGGCTTCTGTTTTTTCTAGTTTTGATGATTAAATATTTCAAACACACAGAATAAATATCACAGCCACCTCTGTCCCCTCAACTCAGACTTAACAGATATGAATATAGATTTGCTTTTTTTTAATAGAATGACAGACACAGTCAACCCTGCCCCTTCCTCTCCCTCCCTCTCCAGATATGACCACCAACCTAAAATCAGCCTGTACTTTGTCCATGCCTGCATTTCTACCTTTACCACTGTGTGTATATCTATGAACTACAGTGGTCCTCCCTCATAACTGCAGTTTCGCTTTCTGTAGTTTCAGTTATCCACGGTCAAACAGAAATTTATTCTCTCATGGTTCTGGAGGCCGAGAGTCCAAAATCAGGTACCAGCAGGTTGGTTTCTTCTGGAGACTCTAGGAGAGGATCCTTCCAGGCTTCTCTCTCCTGGCTTCTGGTGTTGCTAGCAATCCTTGGCATTCTTTGGCTTATAGACACATCACTCCCATCTCTACCTCTGTCTTCACATGGCCTTCTGTATGAATTTCTTGGGGTTCCTGTAACAAACTACCACATATAAGGTGGCTTAAACAACAGAAATTTATTGTCTCACAATTCTGGAGGCCAGAGGTCTAAAATCAAGGTGTCTGCAAGGCCATGCTCTTTCCAGTGGTTCTGGGAAGGAATTTTTTCATGCTGCTTCTTAGTTGCTGGAGGTGGCTAGCGTCCTTGGTGTTCCATTGCTTATAGCTGCATCACTCCTATCTCTGCCTCCATGTTCGCGTCACCTTCTTCCCTGTGTCATCTCCTCTGTTTATAAGGACACAAGGCATTGGATTAGAGCCCCCCGCCCCCCAATGACCTCATCTTAATGTAATTACATCTACAAAGACCCTATTTCCCAAAGAGGTCATATTCACAGGTACCAGGGGTTAAGACATCAATATATCTTTTTGAGGATCACAGTTCAACTTGTGATATCTTCTGCGTGTCTGTCTGGAATGGTATTCAGCCTAAAAAGGAAGGAAATTCTGATACCTGCTACAACATGGATGAACCTCGAGGACAGTATGCTAAATCAAATAAGCCAGTCACATAAAGACAGCTACTGTATGATTCCACCCTCTTTTCCCCAGGAGCAGTGGAGCTGTCCCGGCGCCACCCCATGGCATCCTGGCTGTGCGCCATGCTGCACTGCTTTGGGAGTTATATCCTGGCTGATCTGCTCCTTGGGGAGCCCCTGATTGACTACTTCAGCAACAACTCCAGCATCTTACTGGCCTCAGCCATCTGGTAAGCATCACCAGCCTGGCAGGGCATGGAAGAGCAGAATTGGGGGCGGGGGTGACCCAGCCACCAGGGAGGTGGGAGGTTGGAGGAACCTGGATCCATCATCGCAACCTCTGTGGTGGCCTTGAACACACCACTCTCCATTGCCTAGCTCTGTCCTGAGCCAGGCATGTGGGGAAGGGGGTCTGGACACAACCTCGCCTTCCGGGGCCCTCATAATCTGTCTCCCCCTGATGCTTGGCATTCTCTCCCCAAAGGTACCTGATTTTCTTCTGTCCCCTGGACCTCTTTTACAAGTGTGTCTGCTTCCTGCCTGTGAAACTCATCTTCGTGGCCATGAAGGAGGTGGTGAGAGTCCGCAAGATTGCCGTGGGTATCCACCACGCGCATCACCACTACCACCATGGGTGGTTTGTCATGATCGCCACCGGCTGGGTCAAAGGTAAACAGGACCGTGACAGTGACAATGGAAAATCACTCCAGTTGAGAACCCCTGCTCAGTGGTACATGTCAGGCACCTCGGCTGGCACTTCCATTACTCTAGGCTAAGGGGCATCACAACTGCTGCAGGAGTGTAGGCTCCTCATTAGCTGACACCTTTGAGGCAAATGAGAAGATTCTTCCAGAAATTTAACTGTCAAAGGTAAATAGGACAACAACGAAACAATGACAGCTGATATCTCCAGCAGGGTTTCTCAATTGTGGGACTACTGACATTTGGGGCTGGATCATTCTCTGGTGGAGGCCGTCTGGTGCATGGTCGGGTGTTTAGCGGCATCTCTGGCCTGCAACCACCAGCAGCATGCCCCCTCCCCAGATGTGACAACCAAAAATGTCTCCAGACATCGATAAATGCCACCTCGGGAGGCAAAATTACTCCTGGCGCAATGGTACATATCGGGGACCCCAGTTATCCAGCTGCTCCTGGAGTAGGCATCAAAGCCTCTTTAGTAAATGCTTTTGGGGTAAATGGGAAGATTCTTCTTTGAAATTTAACCATAATGTCTCCACATAAGTCTCCTTATTCTTTCTCCAGGAAGCCTGTACTACAGAGCAAATTCCCCAGGGGTATAGCATGCCTCCTAGAGGGCAAGTTGTTTGAGAAAGATTGAGATCAGAGCCCCGAGGAGGGAGGCTAGGGTCGGGGGCCACTCTGGAAGCCTCGTGCACAGCTCAGGATCCTAGATTGGAGGCATCAAGGCAGACAACCCAGATTTGTCCGTGCCTTCTAGGTAGGATATTAGCTCAATTTTTTCTGGCTGGTTTTGCTCCAATTGTGCTGTGTGACCCTCGGCAAGACTGCCCACTCTGGACCTATTTCCCCACCTGCAACTGATCGTCATACACCCAGGCTGATTGTCCCTCTGGAGAGGACTCCAGGAGTGGAGAGTCTGCCTCCTTGAGAATTCAGCTAAGAAGTACGGGAAACTGCGGGCGACGGGCTCATTCAGAAGCACCCTATTCCATAGGCGCTGGTGTTGCCCTCATGTCCAAATTTGAGCAGCTGCTCCGAGGGGTCTGGAAGCCAGAGACCAATGAGATCTTGCACATGTCCTTGTGAGTACCCCGTCTTCCCCATCTGTCCCTCTTGTGCCCCCAAGCCTGATCCTGGGTTGGATACTTCTGGTAACTTAGAGCCCTCAGCCCCTGATTCTGTTTTCTAGAAGCTTCCAGAGGACATGTCTAGGGAAACCCATTGAAGGAACCACAACTCTGCCTAGGGGCCAAGGACAGGCAGAGATGCAGGGAGATGAGACACTTGATTTGGGTTTTGAAGAATGAATTGGAGTTTTCTAGCAAAGGAAGAACCTCTGGACAGAGGACAGCACCTCTGCCATCTGTCAAGTCAGAAAAGAACAACAATTTGCCTAGTTCTGTAGGGGAGGGTATGGAGTGTGGGTGGGGAGCCTGGGGCACTGAGTGTGGGTAGGGAATGTGGCTGGCGTTAAGTGGGGGAATGGTGGGTAGGGCCAAAGGGCAGCATTTAGGATCCAACCCAGGGCCCCATGCTGCATTTAGACTAATACATTTTAAAAAGATATCACAGCTTAGGGCTAGTTAAATTTTCTCCCAATCTACAATAAGTAGAACTAGAGCCATTAAAATATGAAAAAATTAAAAGCTTTTCCCATAGACCAGTGAAAATTACCTCTTGTTTTATACTTTGGAAAATGCAGCTTTATCTTGTTTCATCTCCACGAGAAGTCTGTTCCCACCCTCAGTTCACTTACAGGGACCTGGGGCCCAGATGGTTGCGTTGCCTGCTGCTAAGCAGCCAAGTGCCTTCCCCTTCTCCTTCTCTTTCCACCTCATTATCTGAGGCTAGGATTTCACAGAATCACAGACACAATGTCCCTGGCCCTGGGACTCGGTGAATGAGAAAATATCAGGTGCAATCATTAAGTATGTGCAGTGAGTGACAGACCTCAGGAACAGAAGTCTGGGGTCTGTCTGCTGCAACAAGTTAAAATCTTAGAAACCTATTCTGCAAGGAAGAAAAGGAAAGTTAAGAAAAACCACGTGTTATAATTCCACTTCCTGAGGAGTGTGCTGTCCGTGGATCCCTAAGACTACCCTCAAGTTCGATGATGTGTTAGGACTCAGAGAACTCAGCAAAGCCCTTTAATTCAGGGTTACGGTTTTTAGTACAGAGAAAGGATGCTGATTAAAATGAGCAAAGGGAAGATGCACATGGGGCAGCATCCAGGAGATACCAGGTTCGAGCTCCTGTTTACCCCTTCTCAGTGGATCTGTGTAGATGTCCCCTGTTTCTCCCAGCATCCACATGTGACTATACGCATTGACTATGGCCAACCAGCAAACTCCCCCGAGCTCTGGTATCCAGAGTTTTTATTGGGGTTCAGTCACACGGACATAGCTGACCACCTACGTGGCTCACTTCGGCCTCTAACCCCTCTAGAGGTTGAACTGATACCGCATGACCCAAGACCCCCACCCTAAATCACACTGTTACTATCTGATGTGACCCAAAGTCCCCAAGTAAACAGAGACACTCTTATCAGGCAGAACATTTTCAGAGCTTAGACGGCACCTCCCAGGACCCAGAGACAAAGGCCAGATCTCTCTTTGGGCCAAGTTAACCCTTTACTGCATAGAGAGACACCACTTCCTTCGTACCATGTGGGCATCTTCCCACTTCCCACTCAGAAGTCAGATGGGAGCTGGGACTGGCTGGAGGCAGTTGGAGAAGGGGGCCTGGGACAGAGATACAAAGGCCTGAGCCATGCTGTGCCTGCTGGTAACCACGACTGTCCCTTCCAGCCCCACCAAGGCCAGCCTGTATGGAGCCATACTCTTCACCCTCCAGCAGACCCGCTGGCTCCCGGTGTCCAAAGCCAGTCTCATCTTTATCTTCACCATGTTTATGGTGTCCTGTAAGGTAAGCCTTCCTGTCCTGACCCATGCCCAACTGTCCCTCCTGGGATAAGGGCTCAGACTCGCAGCTTTGGGTGTCCAGGAAAGGACAGCCCTATGTGGGGGTCGGGGGGGAGCTTGCCAGTAGGTTCATACATGGAGGAGGGTCTGAGAAGAGCAGTGTCTAGCATGTGGGGACGGGAGTGAGGGAACAAGGTCTTCCCGGCAGGGGGCCCTACCTGGGCAAAGGCCGAGAAGTAGGCAGGAGTGTGCAGGGCCTGTTTCATGGAGAGCAGAGGGACAAAATGCAGGGACAGCACCCTCAGGACACTAGGGATTTGGGCTGGACCAGAAATGGTGTTGGTCTGATCGTCAGGCCTCAAGTTGGGGTCACCCTACCCCTAGCAGGGATCTTGAGGGGTCACACTCTCCTCCCTCCCTGAGGAGCTGGAGAGCTCCGCTGCTGGCTTGGGAAGGGACCACGGTCAATCCAAAGGGAGTGAGCGACTCCAGGCCGAGCACAGCTCCTCCCTGAGCCCAGGTGGGAGTAATTCTGGGGAGAGGGTGACCAACAGTCCCAATGAGCCCAGCTTTAATACCAAGTCTTGTGTCCCAGGAAACCCGGGACACAAGACTTGGTCACCCTCCTGGGGATGTGTGCAGTCAGAGGGGTGGATCTGAGCTACCTCTGACCTTGACATGGATGACCTTTTCTCTCTTCTCCCCCTCCCCTTCTTTGCTTTCTGCCTTGGTCTCCCTCTGGCTCTCTCACTGTCTCCCTGTCCTGCCACCCCACCTCAGGTGTTCCTGACGGCCACGCACTCCCACAGCTCCCCTTTTGATGTTCTGGAGGGCTACATCTGCCCTGTGCTATTTGGGACGACCATGGGGGGTGACCATCACCATGACAACCACGGTGGGCCCCATGGAGGGTCCCACGGTGGTGGTGGGCCCAGCTCTCTGCACTCAGCCATGGCTGCAAAGTCCAAGGAGGAGCTGAGTGAGGGCTCAAGGAAGAAGAAGACCAAGAAGGCAGATTAGAAGGCAGCCCAGGGGGCCTGCGGGCTGCTAGGGAGAGGACCTGGACCCAGAACCCTCAGAGCCAGGCATGGAGGAGGTGTGCTGGGCTCAACTCTCCCCTCTTCAGGCCTTGACTTCCCTGTCTACAAACTGAGGCCATCAGCCTACCCTCCAGGGCTGATGAGAGGGGTTAGATGAGATATGGGAGTAAAGGGCATTTGTAGGAATGGGGGTCCCTCTGCCAGGCCCCTGTAGAGTCACAGATTTTGGGGTGGGGAGCCACAGAATCCTGACAGTGGCACCAGCCAGAAACCCTGGGAGTTATATTCTTGGTTCTAGTATTTCCTCTCTAAAATTAAGTTTTGACTCCGAAAGAATTTCAAGCCAAGTTGAAACTCATTCACTTGAAGGATGATTCCCAAGTACGTGCTGCGAGGCAGCTGCTGTGATTTCCACGTCTTCCTGCCAACTCCTCCTAGGCATCCCTAGGCAAGGTGCCTCCTTCTCTGAGTCTTATATTCCCCATCTGTATAGTGGGGACCCCTGGCCTTCCTCTGTACACAAGGGCTGATGTGAGGCCGGACGTGAACCAGCCCTTTAAGCTCAGAAGCACCATGTGGTCAGGAGGAGAGGCTGTGACAGGTGTTCACTGTGCTTGAGAACAGCTTTGCATTTTAGATCATGTGTGTTCGTGGATCACAGAACCACGCAAGTTACCTGGCATGAAGGAGGCCAGGCTTGAAAGCTTGGAGGGTGGGAAAGGCTTGTCCTGATCCTTGGCTTCGGGCTGCCCCAAACCAAAGAAATGTAGCTGGCTGGGTGAGGGTGCCAAGATTCAGCTTTATCCAGGGGCTCCGAACACTCGCTCTTGGGTCCTGGAAGCACCAGGCCTTCCTTATGCTGACGTCCTTCATTGCTGCTCATGCAGTCGCTCAACAAACATGCTGTCATCTACTCTGTGTCAAGTCTTATGCTGCTGCTGGGCAGCCTGGGAACTTGCTTCAGGGTGAGCAAGGGGGATGGTATCTGAGGGTCCCTCCCAGCCACCTTCAGCTCATTCTAGGTTGCCATGACTTCTGAGAGGGGTGTGTGGGGTTAGGGCCCACGCCGGGCCAGCTTGAGGCTGCCTTCTGTACATGGGTGCTCAGGGCATTAGTCTGCAGCTGTGTTGAGATCAGCGTGGGGTTGGTGGCATCCCAAGTATTGGGAAAGTGCCTTGATTTGGTAACACCTGGGAGCTGGGTGGGTCCTGAGGCTGTAAGGCCTGGAATTCATCCTCTTGCATGTCCATCAAGGCTAAGCATGAAGGTTCAGCGAATAAATCTGTTGTGAGAGAACCCTGTTGGCTTGTCTGATTCATTTCTGCTTTTTCGGCCTCAGGACACAGTGGGGATCTGTGTCCTCAGAGATGCTCAAAGTTTCTAGGGGAATGAGGCTCGCGGCAGCCCAATTGCCAGTGGGAGATGGTGGCTGTGTGTGAGGTCTGCAGGATTTGGAATTAAGCAGACCTGAGTTTGAATCCTTACTCTGCCACTGACAGGTCAAGGAGCCTCTTCTTTTCCAAGCCTGTTTGGAGGGGAAAGGAGGTGATGATTATTACTGCCCTTCAAAGATGGGGGGAAGAATAATGGTGTGGTTAGGATTTGCAGCTAAGAGTCTGTGCCAGATCCTTTTAACAGAATAAAAGTCAAGCCACAGACTGGGAGAAAATCTTTGAAAATTAATGAAAAATTATATCTGATAAAAAATTGTATCTGGAATACATAAAGAATTCTCAAAACTCAATAATAAAATATACAGCCCAATTTAAAAATGAGCAAAGGATTTGAATGGACACTCTGTTATAGAGAATATACCAATGGCGTAGAAATCACAAAGACGCTCAACATCCTTGGCCATCAGGAAAATGAGTGGGAAGTACCACTTCACATCCATAAGTATGGCTAAAATTAAAAAGACTGACCATACTAAGTGCCAACGAGGATGTGGAGCAACCAGAACTCTCATACACTGCGGGCAGGAATATAAAGTGGCACAGCCACTTTAGAAGACAATTTGTCAGTTTCTTTATAAGTTAAATGTGCACTTGCCATATGACACAGCCATTCCACTCTTGGGTATTTGCCCAAGAGAAATAACCGTATATCTCCACACAAAGACATGCACAGGAATGTTCATAGCAGCTTTGCAATAGCCCCAAACTGGAAACAAACAAATGCCCATCAAAGATGAATGGATGAACAACTGCCCTATCAAAAGGAATACTACTCAGTAATGAAAAAGAACCAAATGCGACAGCATGAATGAGACTCAAATGCATCATGATGAGTGAAGAAAGCTACACAAAAGCAAATGCATACTGTCTGAGTCCCTTTATATAAATTCTAGAAAAGGCAAATTCATCTCTAGTAACAGAAAGCTGATCAGTGGGTGCTTAGGGAGAGGAGAATGGAGAGGGGCAGGTGGGAGGGATGGCAAAAAAGCACAAGGGAACTGGGTGATGGATATCTTCACTATCCTGATTGTGGCGATGGCTTCAAGAGTCTATATACATGTCACGCATATCAAGTTTTATACTTTAATATACAGTTTGTTATATGTCTATGGTACATCAATAAAGCTGTAAAAAAAAAACCAGTAAAGAAAAAAAATTAGGCAAAAGATTTGAACAGACAGTTCACCAAAGAAAATATATAGATGGCAATTAACCACACAAAATACACATTAAAACCACAATGAAATACTACTGCATATCTGTCATAGGCTGAATTGTGTTACCCTCAAAATTTATATGTTGAAATCCCAACCCCTAGTACCCCAGAATGTAACCATATTTGGAAATAGCGGATTTAAAGAAGTGATTAGGTTAAAATGAGGTCTTTAGGGTGGATCTTAATTCAATATGATTAGGTGTCCTTGTAAGAAGAGGAGATTAGGACACAGATGTACAGAGGGATGACCATGGGAAGACACAGGGAGAGAGGCCTCAGAAGAAACCAAGCCTGCTGACATCTTGATCTCGGACATATAAATCTCCAGAACGTTAAGAAAATAAATTTCTGTTGTTTAAGCCATCTCGTGGGTTGCTTTTTTTTTTTTTTTTTTTATGGCAGCCCTAGCAAACTAATACAATACTGCTCAGAATGGATAAAATAAAAAACTAACAATGCCAGGTGTCGGTAAGTATTCGAAGCAACTGGAATGCTCACATAGTGTTAGTGGCAAACAGCTGGGCAGTTTCTTATAAAATTAAACATCACTTACCACATAATGCAGCAATCCCATTCCTAAGTGAAATACAAACTCATATATCACACAAGAAACGTTTAAAGCAAGCTGATTTTGATAATTGCCCAAAATGGAAAACATCCTAAATGGCCAGCAGCTGGTGAGTGGATGAACATCATACAATGATCCCATTATACCGTAGAATACTACTCAGTGATGAAAAGGAACAAACTTCTGACACAGCAACATAGGTGAATCTCAAGTGCATTTGCTAAGTGAAGGAAGCCAGACTCTATATTCAGTGAGCTCCCATTACTGGGTGTTTTAGGAAAGGCAAAATTACAGGTGCAGAAAGCCGATCAATAGATGCCAGGGGCTGGGGGTGGGAGGAGAGATTGTCTGCAAAGAGGCCAGGGAGGGTGACAGAACTGTTCTGTATCTAGATTCTAAGGGGAACCCACAATTTTATGTCTTTGTCAAAACTCACAGAAATATATGCTGAGAAATTTACCTGAGTCTAAAAAGAAGAGGGAAACAGATTAGGCTTGGAAGCTTCTCAGACCTGTTTGCATCCTGGCTTTTTACCTGCGACGTGTGTGGTGTTGGGCAGGTAATGCCCCTTCTCTGAGTCTCAGTTTCCTCTTAGGTTGACTCTAGGGAGCGTGTGGAAAGCCCTTGGCCTGAGGGGAGGTCTGGATTGATTGCAGAAGCCAGCTCTGTGAGTGCCTGCAGCACTTCTGTGGAGGCTCATCTAGCACCTGGTGGGTGTTGGCAACGAGCTGGCTCCTTGCCTTCCAGCACAAATGTTCTGAGATCTCATTTTATGAGAGGACAGACCATACGAAAATAGCCTCCCAGCCTATTTTGGGAAGGGGGTGGGCAAGCCACCGGCCAGCTGGTTGGGGATGACTGGCAGGGGAGGCCGCCCCTGCCGTCCTGTGTAGATGTGAGAACTCTGAAGGCCAGTTCTCAAGTTCCTGCATAATTTTAGCTGCGAGTCATACTCAGTAGCTTCTTTGGTCATGGGCTGAGAGAAAGGTTCTTTTATTATTATTATTACTATTATTATTACTATTATAATTATAATTATTATTATTAATTGTTTTTAATACATGACATAAAATTTACCATCTTAACCATTTCTGAGTGGTTCAGCGGTATTAAATGCATTCACATGGTTGCAGAGCCATTGCCACCGCCCATTTCCAGAACCCTTGTCATCCTGCAAAATGAAAACTCCATACATTAAAAAACCCTTCCCCTGGCCCCTGGTACCCACCATTCTACTTCCTGTCTCTATGAATCTGACTCTTCTAGAGACTCCATATAAGTAGAATCACACGGTATTTGTCCTTTTGTGTCTGGCTTATTTCACTGAGTATAATGTCCCCAAGGTTCATTCCTGTTGTAGCGGGTGTCAGAATTTCCTGCCTTTCTAAGACTGAATAGTATTCCATTGTGTGGATGGACCACATTTTGTTCATCTATTCACTTATCAATGGACACTTGATTGCTTCTACTTTTCAGCTGTTGCGACTACTACTGTTATAAATATGGGTGTACAAGTATCTGTTCAAGACCCTGCTTACAATTCTTTTGGATATATACTGAGAAGTAAAATTTCTGGATCATATGGTAATTCTTTAACTTTTGGAAGACCCACATCCCATCATTTTTGTTGTCTTCTGCTCATCTGAAGCAAAGCCCAGGTCCCCTACATTCAAGGGTAGGGATTACACAAAGACGTGAGTACCAAAGTAGGGGACCCACAGGGGACACTGTAGAAGGTGCCCACTGCGCCTCATAAGCAAATCTAGGCCATAACTGCACCTAGAAATTTCTATTAAGTGCTTGTACATGCCAAGCACATAAGCAGGTATTTTACAAACAGTATGTCTTTGAAGTGGGTTATTTTATGGAAACAAATTTTGGCTCAGTGGCGAAGCAACTTGAAGAGCTAACATTGGGGGTGGAATTAAAATCTAGGCCTATCTTATTCCAAAGCCAATGCTTTTTTCTTTACACTTCACTTCTCGGAGTCTCTTTGGGGAAGCGTAAGATGCACACATAGGAAGCGGTTAGCAGAGTCTGACACCAAGCAGGTGCTCAGCAAAGGTAAGGCTACCGTCCCACAGTTACCGCAGATGTAGGCGGCTGTAACTGCTTTTTACTTTGTACTTTCTGGTTAGTATCTGCCTGGAGGCTTCTGGATAAAGTCCCAGCTCAATTAGTGGAGGAAATTAACACCTAACTGAGCCTTTAGAATCCAGCAGAGAGTTCAAAGTGAAGGCACAAAGGCAGGATGTTGGCAGGCCTGAGAGTGAATTCTGATTCTGCTCCTAATATGCTGTGTGACCCTGGTTGAACCCTTCCTTGTTAAATGAAAATGTTGGACTAGGTCAACGGTAGGTCAACTATGGCCCAAGGGCCAAATCTGGCCCATCATCTGTGTGTTTGTAAATAAAGTTTTATTGGCATACAGCCACATTCATATGTTTACATATTGTCTATATCTTTCTCGACCTACAACAGCAGAGTTGAGTCCTCGAAACAGAGACTGTCTGACCTACACAGATGAAAATATTGACGGGCTTTTTGTAGAAAAAGTTTGCCAACCCCTGGACTGAATGATTTTTAAGACTCTCTAACTCCAAATATCTGATAATTCACAGAAGACATGAGCAGTATACTTAACGAGGTAAAGCCGAGAGAATTACATCTGACTCTGTATCACAGACAGGCATCTCATCATCCCCCAGGTGTCCTCTATAAAAACAGACCATAATCAGATATCTTAGTCCATTCAGGCTATAGCAAATGACCATAGACCGTATGGCTTAAACAACAGATATTTCTCATAGTTCTGGAGGCTGGGAAGTTCAAGATCAAAGAGCTAGTAGATCCGATATCTGGTAAGGATTCTCTTCCTGATTTGCAGATGGCCGTCTTCTCCTTGTAAGTCACAGAATGGAGAGCAGAGGGAGAGCGATCCCTCATCATCTCCTCGTTTTATAAGGGCACCCATCATCATGATCTAATCTAACACTAATCATCTCCCAAAGGCCCCGCTTCCAACTATCATCATGCTGGGAGTTAGGATTTTGGCATA